TTTTGTTTATATGTCATGATTATGTTGTTGTTTTTTATCGACACGGCCCTGATTGAAACCAGTCTGCGAACTGTTTCGGGCTTTTACCGTGTATAAATAAAATAAACTCAACTCAAACTCAACACGAACCCATTGAACAGAATGTCGGAACGTAAATTAAATTTTGCGCGGTTGGAAAATGCATCTTTCTACCCTGCGACTTTAATGGTACGATCCAGTAAAGTAAATTAAAACAGTAAAATGGCTCTTATTTTAAAATTACTCATTAAATAAAACCCTAAACTTCAGTGATATCAGAAAAAATATTTTATATCTTACTAATAATTAAAAAAAGATGTATGAACATTGTGAAAGTGTCGCATTTTACGATAAAAGACACCGATTTAGCGAAGATGACGTCATTAGTGCGCTTGCATCAGGGAATTCAAGGTCAAAAGGTCTATTCAGACGCTGATAAGTTATTGGTCGAGCCTTTTTGTTTCCTTTATTCCGACAAAATCATACAATCAATCAAAACAAGTTTAATACCAAAAGAAAGCTAACGATTAGTATTTTCATTAACAGCTTGCCCCAAAGTCGCTTGACCACAGTGAAACGAGTGAGAACTTGCGAGAGCGGCCAAAGTGTGATTGAAACTCGCTATTTGCTCTTCTCCAACGCAAAAAGAGACGACATTGTGCTGGATAAATGTATTTTTTCCGACAAAAGTACAGAACATTTGCATATGGTCTTTTTATATTATACTTTATGAAATGTTACCCGAGTGACTTCCGGGCGCCCCAATGCTGGAAAGAAACGCACATTTGAGAAAACTTCACTTTTTCATGGAAAAATGCTTATTTGTTCTATGCACGCAAGTCAGATTGAGCAGATGATACAACGTTTCCATATGATGGATATTCTTATTAATCAGATAAAATGTATGATTTAGGAAGACCAACGTGGAATTTCAATTGAGGAATGTGAAGTTAAAGGAAAATCCGACGCAAATAGACAACTACTCCAAGAGAAAGCAGAAAAATCAGAGAAGCCAATTGATGAAAGTTTCAATTAAATCTTACTGAATATAAGAAAGTTATGATTTTTTGAAAGTTTAAATCACTAGGGTACGTGTAGGGAATTTGAGACCGTAGGGAATTGAAGACCACCAAGCTTGAACCCATCACTGTCTGTCCGTGTTGGCTCCAATATTGCTATAGCACCATATGTGGCCTTTAACAACACTACTGCATATATCCAATTCATTTCGAAGACTACAATGCGTTCTTTCTCCGAGAAAATTGGCAAAATTGACCAAGATAAGCAATTTTGATCAGATACCATGCATAATGTGCATTGCAACAACCATTCACAACACACAATGGCCATAAGTTTTCTGTGATGGTTGGCACACTTCATAAACTTCCTTTTAAAACTAATTTTTAAGAGCCACCCCTAAATACCTGCATACCTGTGTTTTTATATCAGAGCAAAAATTTACGATCAAAATTGCTTATCTAGGTCAAGTTTGCCCATTTTCTCAGTAAAAGAATGCATTGTAGTCTTCGAAATGAATTGGATATATGCATTAGTGTTGTTAAAGGCCACATATGGCGCTTTAGCAATATTAGATATAAAATCTGCCATTATGGTTTCTACTTGACGTGCTATCAAATTGTAAACACAGTACCTGAGTTTTTAATAAATTTGAACAGGACCTTTAGTTACGAGAAACACTTGGTTGCACCTCGGTGGCACTGATAAGCTACATATAACAGTCTTGTGGTCAATCGTGAACGAGCTCTACGTGTGTTCCGAGTATGAGGTCATTCCTTCTTCTCACATCCCCTACCCCTTGTCTCTCACTCTCGCGGCGTCCACCCCCAATCATTTGAAGGACCAGCATTTTTTTGTAAAAGTGCACAGACCATTTTGCACTCTCTCTAAGGCATTCGGCTTCTCGACGCCACTGTAATTCAAGAGCACAGCAATAATATCTATGAGGTCATTTATTCATGTCCAATCGTAGCCCTGCATAGCTTTATGTGTATAATTGACTCACGGGTCCTGTGTGTATTAGCGGCGTTGATCATACATGGGTAAAGGAAACTAATTACTTAAAATTCATTTTCAAATTTGAAAGCACAACATTGGTCGAAATTAATAGCTGAAGAGTCCCTATATGACGTAAACTAGCAAATGTAAGTAAATTAAGACCTGCTTCCATTGATTCTGTTTGGTATTTTTGTTTACAGTAATGCAGCAGTGCATGTATTCGCAGCTTCCGCTTAGATTTAGTCCCATGCGTGCTATTAAGTGTCGGTTCCTCTGATTGGTGTTCTTCATAAGTTGATTCACAATCATTTGTAGTTATTTTAACAGTGCGGTCAGAAGGTTGTTCATAAACACAGAGATACAATAACAAATAAGTATAAAATCGACAACGTTGGGTTTTTGAGCTCCGAAAATTTATTAACAACAAACCAAAGAAAATCTGTCTCAAAACCTTAAATATTGACTTCTCTTTAATGAAATATGATTTTAAAGACATTGAGTAATATCATTCTGAGCCCATATTTATAACATCTTACTAAGCTAGTTATCAACTAATTTCGAAGCCTACCGCAGTCGTAGTCTATTTAGGACTATATTAATTTAGGTTGCTTTTTTGTCAAATCCACTTGATGAAGACGTAATGTACGTCGAGATTATGTGACCCAAGAAAAACAGTTTAAAGCGTCATCTTATGCCAACATGGGGGACTTAATATCATGTATTTTCTATAGAGTATTGTATACTACACTGTAATAATGGTAATGTATTGTTATTTTACATTGATCGTGTATATGTTTTTAATGAATATGGGTCTTCATGAACATCATTAACAAAAACTATTGTCGTCATTGTTCATCTGTGTACATGTATTTACATTACAAGCATAAATGGAAGAGACTTCTAAACCAGTTTGCAGGTGCTAAGTGTTGTCCTTCGATTTGCGTAACAGTGTCTACACTTTGAGACTACGCTGATGTAATTAATCTGCTACGGAAACAGTCATAGACCAAATAGAGTACCAAAGCTATGACGCCATAACAATCTATTTCTAGAATTTCTCAATTTTGTCTTCATATTCCGAAAGAACACCAAAAATAATGCCCAAATGTCGAAAAACCAATTGAATATGTTAAATATTGGCTGAGATATGACCATCTGAATAAATATACTCCCCATAGGAACTCAGTGTTATATTATCTGGCTCCTAATGGTTAGGAGCCAGAGCATATAACACTGAGTTCCCATAGGACATATATTCATTCAGACAGTCATATCTCAGCCAATACTTAACATATTCAATTGGTTTTTCGACATTTGGGCATTATTTTAGGTCTTCTTTCGGAATATGAAGACAAAATTGAGAAATTCTAAAAATATATTTTTGATGACGTCACACTTCACCACTCTATGAAATAGGCTCTGCTGAAGACTTTAGGATGTGTGATCAAGAGTCGAATTAGAGTTTGTACCTGCGGACTACTTCTACACTAAGTGAACAAATTACACCTGCTTTCCATTTAAACCTGACTACTGTGAAATTTTTACTCTACCGTTTTGTTGCAATTTCAACATGCACATTAAGCTTCAGACATTTTCTGGATACATAGAAACTGAATAAGTAATATTTGCAAGAAGTCGTAGTTTCGTAGTAAATCAACATATTTGGTTAAGAACGCGGTCTAGGAAAGTTTAATGAATATTGCTCCGATCATGGAAGTAAAATGCATGTTGCAGAAAAACATAATTTGTACAGCAGTTTGATACCAGCCTCATTATTTAGTATTCCAATAGTTATCTATGCTGTCATTACTGTGCTACAACGTCAACATAAGCTTAAGAATGATACATACTACATATTAAAAGTATATATTTAAAAAATAAATTTTGAAAGAGAACTTAATAGAAATTATATCTAATGCATGCGTATACAGCTTTTGAAGTAGCAACCTATACTGCTATGAATTTACCTGTACGACTGATAAGTGTTATATTACTACTGCATATGAAAGTATCGCGATACTCAAAACTGGTCGCCGGTCAAGATCAATAAATGATTTTGTGACCAATATATATTTTGCTTTGAAAGCATTTTTTCAGATATACAAATTAGAAATGTTTGTAAAAGGGAACCCAAACAAAGTGCAGTTAGATTCAAAGAGGTGGTACAGTTTACAGGGGATTGGTAACATTGTTCAGATGAGAGAAAATGGTTCTTAGGTAGTACTTCAAAGCTAAATGTACAATTAAAGATAATCTGAAAGTTTGAGTGAAAACAGACCATTATTATTGATACAAATTGGGAAAAACTGATCTGATGAAGTCCTTAATTTTCCCAACTTTATTATTAAAATTTGATTAGATTTTAGGTGAATGAAAATCGTCACAAACAGATGAATAGGATTTATTTGCCATTCCACACATTTAAGTGTTGAAAGATTTTAAAAGCCTGTCTTATGTCTTATTTTCATGGAAAAATGGTTGGGAAAATTCAAAAATGGTTGGGAGATTTTACTGTGAGAGGGTGTTGCACAATGACGCCTTCAAGGAAAAGCATAAATATCTTTGTGGTTTGAGAATTTGTTCAGGATTTCTGTTTGCATGTTAGAAGGTTAGTACAGTAGAAGTAAATATGATAAGTGACATTTCATACAAAAACTACACAATTTTTTTCATCAACGTTCTACAATGTTACCGGGTCACTTTAAAGGAAGGATATTTTATAGACACTTCTTAAGCTTCACGTATACTGCCATCTGGTGCCCACAACGCCCACAATGCATCTCAAATAGACCATTTTCATAATGTAATCAAATTTGATACAATTAATTATATTTCAACTCTGATAATGCGAGTTACATACAGTAAGTGTTGCTAGGTAGGACAAACATTATGGCTTGTCCAACCTAACAACACGGAAGGTATGTAATTCGCATTCGCACGAACCCCCCCCCCCCCCAAAAAAAAAAAGTTCGCTTACACTTCATATACAGATAACAGGGCTTTTAGAGCGTGTTTATAACTGGTCAAAGTAGGTGACATTTTGGCAGAACTTTCAAGTTGGTTCCATACTTTAATTCCAGAAATGAGAGGACTATTTTTTTAAGTGTCCGTCCTAACTTTGGGTACACACAATGCATCCCTTACAGTATGGCTTGTGTTGTGATCATTTAGTGAACTGATATGATGTAAATCTTTTGTTAAGTATGTTGGTGCCATCAGCCTCTCGATAGGCCAGGGTTTTTTCATGAAACTGTCATAAATAAAAGTTCGCCGAGAACGCATTGAAACGCGTGAATTGAATGTCACACGCGTTCGAAGGGATGTCTTTGAACTTCTACTCATGTCGGTTTTGTAAGGCGATGCCCAGAAGGATGATTTTGTTGTTGAAAGTTTCATGTTGCTATGGTTATGTCATCATGGCCCTTCCTCGACCTTCGCTAAGTTCTTGGTATTGCGAGATGACGCAGATTAGACAGGTGATCTGAAGAAGAGAGATCAAATGAAGCAACATAAGAATTGTCTGGAAAAAATGATCCAATTCGATACTTTATACACGCCAAAAAGTATTTAAAACTCTTAAATACATTTTCTTTATTGTGTTTTTTTTTTATTAAAAAAAACGCTACTTTCATATAAAAGTACTAGTGCTTTGGAGCCCGTTTTGATCAAATCGTGCACTTTGCTAATAAAAATATATATCTTACACGGTACTCAGATATGTGATATCAAGTATTTACTGTCGGTTCTGAGGTTTGATGGCAATGTTCTGTTCAAATGTTGAATACTTCGATAGGAGGTTTTACAGCTTAATGATAAATGGTTAGTGTATACAATGTAAAAATATTACTAATTTCATAATACAAATTTCTCCAGATGCCTTATCAGTTATTTGCGTTAAAAAAAACATTTTAATTTAATATTTTCATACATATCAATTAGGTTTAGTCTCAACATTTCATTCTGGACACTGATCGAGAAGTATAAAAAGTGCTGGAGGTGGAAATAATATTTATTAGCTTCCTCGTTCCTATTATTCCCATGTGAAAGAACATCATACTAGCAATGCCACCTAAAAAGATTTGCTCTTGAAATGCTCCCTTATTTTTAAATATGACCTGAAATAGTTTACAACTTTGGACCACATTCTGAGGCGACAAGTCTTATACTATCCTTGTCGATGTGAAGTTATCTTCGCTGTCTTTTATTTTCAGCAAGGTGTTCATCTTTTTTGTTTAATGTGTAGTCCTTATGATTCAAGAACCTTATTATAATGTCCCTATTTCTTGCATCAATATTTTATTACAACTGATTGATAGTTTCTTTGACGGAGAATTGACATAACAAGCAAAGACTACAGCATTAACCCTTTATATGCCACACACACTTTCCACCTGTTCCACATAGTAATTATCATGGGACAGATATACCAAAGAATTCAAGATTGATTGTTTCCGGGGCAAGATCAATCCATACCCGGTTAATCTATTAAAGGGTTGCCTTGGAGTTAATCAAGACTGGAAATTGGAAGCTTTGCAAACCCATTGTGTTGCACAAAGCAGTCCTTCCGCCTATGGTTTTGTGCATAATTGCATGTGTGGCAAAGGAGCAGCTGTGCAGAGAGGCACAGAAAGCAAACGATCTGTTAAAATACTTACGTTGAGGGCAGTAAATAGGAGCCAGACGACAAGGTTCACGATCAGCACGATAGATACGGCTCCCTTCGTTAAAATAAAAGCATATACAAATTACAGTCATATCATTTTGGTGAACCAAAGTTTATGATTTTTTTTTTTTGCGACAGATTTTAGTAAAAAGAGACCAACAATTTGTTGTGTCTCAAAAAATCTGAAAGAAAGAATCATAATAAATTTCTAAGATATTGATACTCTCTTTGATATAGTATAGAGGTTATCACATTCAACGAAAATTATCGTTCATGGAATTAACTTGTAAACGAATACTTTATATATCTTCTTCTTTTTTTATTTAAAGCTTACAACCTTCTTTGTAATAGAACTTCTTTATTGTAAAGCTTTTGAGTTATCCTTTTCATATTCAAAGTCTTCGCAACAAAATTCATAAACCGCCATTAAGGACACTTTTGACTAAGGAGGTAAAAGAAGCTTTCCATTTGCTTTGAGCTATATGAAATAATTAATTGACCATATTTTTACGGGAAAATATCAATATTAGGTATCAATTTATTTATTTTACTATGAGAAGTATTTACATTGGCCAAAAGAAGTCAAAGCGTAACTAGCCCCCTGCCCGAATTTTAAGAGCTTTAAAATTCTTGACCATGCAAGCTGCAGCCAATGGCGTCATCAGATTCTTATAAGTGGGGAACAATTTGAGGGAGCGTGTGTGGATAGGGGCTACCCCCCCCCCCCCTCCTTCTACGGTATGGGCTTTTCAGAGTTGTGTGTTAAAAATAAGCATTTTAAAGCATTGCAGAGTAGAACTCAAGTATAAATAATAAAGCTGTATAATTCATTGAAAACACATCGGACAAAAAAATATCCTTGTGGTGGGGGTAAACTAATCGAATAAAGAGATGCAACATTTCCTGTGCCTGTGAGCAAACACACTGTGATACAGACACACTGGATCAATAATAAGTGCTTTTCAGCAAAGAATCAGATCCCAAAACAGTTGGAGTGTCCCCTCTGACCCCAACTTGTTGACGCATTTAGGTACGCCCCCTCCCATTGGATACGCCATCGGATAAGATCACTTACGAGAAGGACGAAGAGGATAATCCATGCAATAGCTTGGAAAACGATGAGAGCCAAGACCCCCACCATATAAGGAATCAGCATCGTCTTGTTGTGCTGCAAAATGAATAGATAGAAATAGACATCCATCAACCATAAATATTGAACTATCATCTAAGGAATTGATAACATGAACGAAATCCTTATCAGATTTGATAAATGATTAATGCAATTGACTGGAGGCTATTAAAGAAAAACATCCGAGATTGTCAATTGCAATTAAAGGTAGGAGATATATGAATGATGTATTAGACCATCGTTTTTCAACCTTCTGTTAGTCACGGCACCCTTTTGAGAAATAACGAGTTTTGCGTCACCCAAATCCTAAATTCATCAGAGAATATTCATTTGGCATCATTCTGGCACTTTTCAAGTTCCATGAACACAAGTAGGGCCATATTTGTTCCTTAATTTTGCGAGCGTGCGTAACGAGCGAGAAAAAAAGAGTTTTACCATTAAAACAAAAAATATATATTTGGTAATCAACACACTAGAAAAGCTATAAAGTACTGTATGTGGGTACCTCCACGCCGAATGTACATGAATTTAAAAAAAAAAGATTTACATGTGTTTGCTTTATAACCTCGATACGCGTATATGAGGATATTCGGGCATCTCGTTACTCTATAGCAGTTTTTTTTAATTCGTTTTTCACGAAATCAGCGTTTTCCCAAAATAATTCTTTGATTAAACTAAAATTTCTCTCGCGGTATCCCTACAGATGTCCTGCGGCACCCCAGGCCGCGGCAACCCGGTTAAAAAACTTTGTATAATGCAAAAGATTTTGACGAAATACGTATTGTCATTTCAATCCTATATTTGACATGAGTTTCCAAATGGAACAATAAATAATAAACTGAATATCAAAGTACATACACTCTCTTCACCGAAGTAATATAATAATCTTTAAAATGCTTTCCCCCAAAAACCTATTGATTTGATTGGTGTCATTTTCGTGTATCTATTATCAAATTATTGATAAACTTTTGTATTGATAAACTTTCTCTGTCTCTCTCTCTCTCTCTCTCTCCATCTCTCTCCTAAAAAATGTCCGTTTCTCTAACCATGAATGTTAGACCTCCCTCCCCTCCTTCTCTCACTCTTCCTTCTCTCAATCACTTTCTCCCTCTCTCCCTCTCTCTCTCTCTCTCTCTCTCTCTCTCTCTCCAGGTGTCTTTCTCTCTCTTCTCCCTCCCTTTCTTTCTCTCTCTCTCTCTCTCTCTCTCTCTAGCTCTCTCATTAGGGACTTTTAGATTCGCACGAAGACAATGGGGATTGCTACGATCGACGTCCCTTTAATGCACTGCCTTGAATGGACGTCACACGTATCAGTCAACGCAAATCTAAAAGTCCCTATTGTCCCTGTAACTCGTCTCTCGGACCTACCAGGGGCACGCCCACTATGAGAATAATGGATGCGATGAGAAGAAAAGCGGCGAGGATAATATCAATGCTGTATGCTGCATAGATCCCATCAACAGTCGGTCCTTTAAAGAATTATCACAAAAGAACATAAGTAAAAAAATAAATACTATAACATAAGCATGAGGAAGGTCCATCTTTGACCCTTTTGAGACAGCAATTATTTAAGGACTAAATTTATCATTTTTTCTTCTTCTATAATTTGCAACAAATATATTTCTTGTTTTGCTACACTGTTCTAATAAATGTCATTATTATCTCTGAAAACAATATGTATGTATATGAGCTGTCCAAACAAAAAATGTGTATAGCGATTTTAAATCTTTCAATGTGTTTGCCAATTTGAGGATTTTTAGGACTTACTTTTCCTTCTTTTAAATTCCTGGCGTCAAACACAAAGTGGTCATGCAACAAAAAGGAGCACAATGTGTATTTTATATGACTCTTAACCAAAACTTACTATGAAACCGTGAAGATGGAATGCTTGTTTCGATAGGGTTGAATTTGAATTAAAGTGAATAAGATATATCTATTGTATAAAGTATCTATAACAGGGGACATCCCTGTAGACCGACATCCCTGGAGACTGACAGCTCACGAGACCGATATCTAGTTACTCTAGTACATCCTTAGAAGAGTTGTCAAAAGGTCCACGCGACCGAAATTCAGCCTAACACACTGTTTCAAGTACCCTAAAAGTGCCCCTTCTCCTTCCTCATAAGTGCCCCTTTTCACTTCTTATAAGTGGCCCTATTTAAATTTGATAGGTGCCCCTTTTACTTTGATAAGTGCCCCTTTTCCTTGTAATAAATGCCCCGTAATAAATGCCCCGTTCCTCTTGATATTGATATGAGTGAGACAGTGAACTGCGTGTATTACCTGAATAACCGGTGAGGAGGTTTACGGCCTGAACCAAGTTCCAGGACCATACCGCTAAATAGATGCAGCTGGTAACCTGTTATTGAATAAATAGAAACATGAAGAATGTAAAGTTCGGAAATCAGATCTACTTAATTCCCGAGTAAAACAACCCAATAATATGAGGAAGTGGGTATAGCAATAAAATGTTAAACACAAAATAGAGGCCTATATTACACAGACCCCGTAGTTTTTTTAATAGATATTTCAAATGGAGCAAATTAACGGCCTTATTTGCCTGTGTTCATAACAGTGTATGTATATAATACTCCGTAGATCATTTCAATTACTTCTTACAGTCATGTGATGCAATGTGAGATCAATATTCAGGGGTGGTCTCAGCGTGGCGCGGTGTAACTTTTGCGGTATTTCAAATATTATGCTAAACTTGAGACTCAGTTTTAAAGGCAGGGTAGTTTACTAACATCGCTATCACTGCTGTAATGTATTTTTAATTGCGCCATCTTTCGGTGAAGGCGTACATAGAGGGATATCAAGTTCTTGTACCCGTGGACATCGGTAGCATCATTTGGAGCGCCTAGAACGAGGTAATGAATATGCATGTTTGTGGTGTCATGTCCGATATAATAGGGACTTTTAGATTTGCACACCGACACAAGGCAGTGCCTTAAAAGGACGTCACATTGCCTTATAATGATGTCACACGTAGCAGTCCACTATGTCGGCGTGCAAATCTAAAAGTCCCTAATGAGGATTTAGGCAATGCGATGAAGGTGGCACCTGTAGGCAAAGAAGTATAGACAATTATGAAGGAATTTTGCGGTTCTGAAAAAAATGAAACAAAATAAATCACCAGGGAATGATGGGCTTACATTCAAACTTTACAATACAACTTGGTCAAACATAAAATATTTACTAAGATAGGTGCCTTCAATGAAGTCTTTGTCTCGGATATGCTTATCGGCATCACAGTAACAGGCTTTTTAAAGAAGGGAAAGTCTCACACTAATTACAATATGGCCAATATCATTATCAAATATCGACTATAAGATTGTTCCTAAAGTAATGGCCACAAAAATATTAAAAAATGTCTCGGAAGCTATCGTTCTATAGATCAAGAAGGGTTTATTAAGGGAAGAACTATAGGAGAATAGACGATGTTTTTCCATACGTCTCATAATATCATGCCAGGGTAATGATAGCTATTGAATTTGAGAAAGGCTTTGACTCGGTGTCGCGCAGTTTGCTATACAAAACATGTTCTTTTGGCTATTTTAATGTGGAAATGGGTGTTCGAAGTGAAGACTCCAAAACAAAACAAATATAAACTCCATATAAACAATGATAAAACAAAAGTACTGTTGTTAGGCGCACTTCACGGAAAGTTATTATATCATATATCCTTTGGTCAAAAAGTAGAATTTGTATAGATTATAGGGGTAGCTTTTTTCCTTCATTCTTTTTTTCAATTAAAAAATGGTTTTAATTATAGCACATACATGGTTCATACAGATTCAATGTTACATGAAAGACAGCCATGGCTGGAATATTCATGTTTACATGTAAGGCACAATAAATAACACTTTTAGATATATAAACATGTAAAAGACTAGCAGTATAACAATAGGACAGAGATTCTGTAACTAAAAGTAATAAACACATTGCACAAGTTATCAAAAATACAACAAAAATGTCCTATTGTGTCATAAAGTCAATACAAGCATTGTAAAATGATTCATATAGGTACATTTAAAACAGTCGACTTGGGGGAAGAGACAAGCACTCAATATACCTGCAATAACGATGATAGTATTTTTATTTTTAATTTTTAGGAAGTTTTTCAACTTCTGTTGAGTATATTATCAACTAAAAATGAAAATAGGCTATATTTAAACTTTTTGTTTTGAATTGAAATTGCTGATAAGTGGGAATACGGCGAAAAGAAATTTTTTTTTTCTGGGGTAACCGAATTTTCTACAAAGTACTAGTCTCCTCTCCTCAAGAGTTGTTAAATTGCATACATGTCATGCATTAGAATAGGTAATGTATTTAGAACCTAAAATAATATTACATACTCTACGTTGTATTTTTTGTTCTACTTTATGACTGCTAACGAACGCTGAAGCACCATATTCTAAAACTGGTAGTATATAACCTACGTATATTGTCACTTAATGCTTAAAAGGTAAATTGAATTTCTTAAGTTTTCTTAACATGTACGGTTTTCTATTGCACCTTTTGACTAAATCATTAACATGTAAATTCCATTTTAAATCAGATTGTAAAATGACTCCAAGAATTTTGAGAGTTTGTACATTGCATATAGTAGAGTCATTAATGGAAAGAACTTCAGGAGGAGCAGGATTTTTCATAAAAGTAACCTGCAGGGTCAAATTCTTCAAAGGATTGAGTGACATATTGTTCGATTGAGACCAGTATTGTACAGAGTTAAGTATGGGTTGTAATTGTGAAACGTCTGTTGATTTTAATACGACATTGTACTAAAGACAAATCATCAACATATTTGAAATAATGTATAGGAATATTTTCACATAAATCATTAACCATAATAGACAACAGAATTGGACCAAGACGTGTCCCTTGGGGAATACCAGCATGTCTATTATCAGACAGCGTTCCATTATATAATGTACTTTTTTTACGACATTCTAAATAACTTATGATCCAAAAGTTTATTATCCATAGTCTTATGTGAATATTAACCATTTTTCAATTAGAATATTGTGATCCAAGTGATCAAAAGCTTTTTTTAAATACTGTATGTACATACAATAATTGATATAGACTTGTTGTTTTCTGCATGTTTATGAAGATGATGTAAAAGGCCAACAAGGTAAAGTGTAGTAGATAACCCTGGTCTGTTACCGAACTGATGTATATCAAAAGGTTAAATATAGAAGAAAATTTGAATTAAAAAGAAATACTAGGTAAAATAAAGAAATCGTTGAGTTGGTGGGAGCAGAGAGACTTAAAGGGATCGTTTAACAATGTTAAATCTGAGATAAACGGCCCTACGTGTTATCAGTGTCTGTGATATGATGTAATGTTGAAGCCCTACACAAATTGCGCTTCACAATGATCAAGAAGTGCCTCAAAAAAGTAAAAATCTTTGAGTGACCGGTTTTACCATACTAGTTTTCCCCAATAGACTGTAGTGTTATGAAAACCGTCAGGCGAACGGTTTTCAAAATTTGTAATTCCAATCATAAATATCTTGATAACCAGACAGGCGATCAGGTTGTAAAAGTCACGGGGTTCCTGTCTGACCTAAAAGTTTATAATTATCATTGCATCATGAGCTAAATCCGGAATATGTTTTCAGAATCTGAGACAAAGTTACCGGATCCCTTTAACAAGGATGGGTAAATTAAAGTTGTTAAAGTTATTTGTATATACTAAATTCATTTATTAAAGTAGGTTATGTATACAGGTGATATGACCAATTTGTGTTCAACTGAGGACGCCATAACGAAAGCAATAAAAAATTTGTTTCAGGGCTTGGGGCACGCAAAATTTATGTTTTGTTGAAACGCAAATATTTGTCTGGGAATATGGATGTAGGACAAATGTTCATAAACTTCATTTATTTGAAGGAACGAAGTCTAAAAGGAAAACCTTGTATATGTTCTATGAACAGGAAGCTAACAATATTGGTTCAACGCCTTTGAATAATCGGCCAACCACGTCACTACAATGGAGAATTTCTTCATAAAATAAGTAGGGTAATTTAGGTCAAGCCTTGCATGTTAAATTAATTGTGCTAAAACAATCACGTATCACTATCTATCACTATAATTAAAGAAGTTTTTTAACAGAATATACATGAAGTTTAAGGGGGCTTATTTTTTTACATTTCAAATACGACCTTTATACCTTTCTACTTGTTGGCGGCATTCTAAATAAAAATCTACTATTAACGAAATGACACATGGAGGAAAACACGACATCATTACGACGTTCGTACGGCCGCCATACGAAGAGAGGGTTTCGTTCGAGGTTGGAAAAAATCTTTGACCATCGACCTATCTGCGAACTGACGAACGGTCTACGAACGGTCTACGAAAGCTGGTTTCGTATGGCCTTCTTAAAAAGATGTAACGAAATGGTCTGAAAATCATTCGTACGGCGTTCGTAGCAGCCCGTAATGGTATTTGTGACCGAGGCTTTTACTAACATAATCACGCATGGAATTAAATGGCGTCTCAAATGGCCCCGTTGACAGATTTTCAAAATCCTGTTTAAAGATGCCCTGCGTTTTGCCACCCTGAATATGCTTGCCAAATTTCAACCCAAAATAAAGATCGGAAAGGGGGAGAAAAGCGTTCTCAAAATTGACGCAGAAAATGATCTAGAAATCAATCTAACGCAGATTCCCTTTGCACAAAGGTGCTCCGTTCCATCAGATTCTCATGTAGGAGTGACGGATAACCTGTATGAAATGAAAGACATAGGCTGCGTGAGTCGGCTTATGCCGAAAGGATAGGTAGCGTCGCGTCGCGGCGCTTTGACTTGAACGCGACCATTCGTCCAAAGCCCACCCCCCGGTTTGGTCGAAATGGTGCGTTGGGAGTGTCGTGTCGCGTCGAACGCGACTATTCGTCCAAAGCATTCAAGTCAACGCGCCGCGACGCGACGCTACCAACCCTTTCGGCATAAGCCGCGTGAGTCTGTATTTCACCGTCTGGTGACGTGACAATTGAGCACGTACCTGATGCATGTCAGTTGGAGCATGTGGTCCAAAAACGAAACCAGAGAGGAAATACATATGACTAGAGCTAACAAACCAAACAAAAGAATACATATTTACTCAGCGAATCGGTCCTGATGGGCATTGTCGGGAAAATTCTTTCATTTGATAAAGTGGGTTTGGAATTGCGCCCAACAAGTGGACAAAAAGAAACTACTTGAAATGAAAATAGAGGCCGGAAGAGCGGTATTCAAAATTTGTCATCTGCCATCGAATCTGAGTACTTTTCCAATATTCAACCATTTATACCTATTACACCAGCAAATTTAGACAATTCGAAGCCTTCTGATGCAAATATAAACATGCTT